TGTGGCGTCGCCGACTAGTGCCTATGATGGTAGGTGTCCACGTGTCACTGTGTGACTAGGCTACTTGGGCGGGGATTTTTTGAATTTCGAAAAGATTTGGTAGGATCTGACGGTTACAAATCCCTATGTAACTTTAACCCTTCGCATTCCGCTAGCCAAATTTAACCCTTCGCTTTCCCCCTGGCCAACTATAAATAGGGGACTGCTGTGGGGAGGAAGGGCTCACTTGTTTCTTTCGATTGTTGCCTAATTTCTCGATCGTTCTTTCCCTGATCGTTCTTTCCCTGAGATTTCTCTCCTCCTTCTACAACCTCACTCCTCCTTCTGCTGTTGCTAAGGTTCAAGTCAATATCATGTCTAGCATCAACAACAACGAGGCCGAGGTCGTGCAAGGCGAAGAAGGTAATTTCTCCCCTCTTTCGCACACTTCTACTGGCCGTTCCGGTGACGGGAACGGTGGTTCTGGGGATTGGAATGGCGGTTCCGATGGTGGGAACGGCGGCGGTGATGGTGGGGTTCCGGCGACGCCGTCGTTCGACGTCGGGTCAGAGAATGAGGTCGGCGGCTCTTCCGACGTGGGTGTGGTTGCTTCTGGGAGTGGGCAGGCGATGCAATAGGCTCGGGGAGTGCTGGTTATCCGGCGTAATCGGGACAATAGGGCGGAGACTGCCGACAATGTGGCACGCGAAGACTCCGGTACCCAGTCCGAGACGCGCGATGTTGTACGCGTGACGGAGGCCATGGCCCGATTGGGGCCTCGGGGTGTTGGCGCCGCGTACAACGTGATAGAGTGGGCAGAGATGTGGGGCAACCAGCCGGCGCCGCATGACAACCTCAAGCGCGGGCCCGAGCACGCCTCTGTATATGATGTCGACGACGTGGCGGAGATAGTCCGTGGGCTGGGCTTGCCCCCCCATTGGCAGTACGCTGCTCCATCGGCGCGAAGCATGGTGGGCCATTGCCCCCTGGGTGGTTTGGCGTTTATACATAGTATTGGGTGATGGGGTTCAAATTCCCCATCAACCCGCTCTTATGCGCTTTGTATAGGCGCCTCAACTGCTCCGTCGGGCGGCTCTCCCCGTCAGTTATTATGCACGCGAGCTGCCTCCGCCTCGCGTGTAAAAGGCTTAACATCGAGCCGGCTTACGGCCTGTTCAGAAAAATGTACAAGATCAAGGAGCCCACGTCAAAGAGCGACTGCCTTTCCATCAAGCGTCGCGACAAACGCCCCGACGGCTTCGTATATGGGTCGCCCAAGTTGAAGAAAACTTGGTTCGAGCGGTTCTTCTACGTCAAGCCCACTCCCGGGGAATGAGCGAGTGAGTTCCTGGAGGAGCCCACCACTTGGAAGAAGGGCAGCACGCTCGGGTTTGAGTCGGATTCTGGCACTTATGACGGGCTCAACGATGAATACGAGGCGTGCATGCCTCATCGGATGAATTTATACACGGGGGGAGTCCGCGAGGCTTGCTTGGAGGAGTTGTTTGGCGATGGTTAGTTATATTTTTTCCTCTTTTGCATTCTATCTTATTAACCTCTCTCTTACGATTTATTGGCGCAGGTGTTGACTTTTCCAGCCTCGTCAGCATGATGTCGGTGGACGACGTCGCGCCGCGCGCTGACAAGAAGAAGAATAAGAAGACTGGCGCGGCGCCGTGGACTTCGAAGCGGAAGGAAATCGAGCAGTCGCAGGTAGTTGAGAAGCCCCGTAAGGCGGCTCTTCTGGTGGAACCAACTGCTCGGGTAGCGCCGCAACCGTCGTCTGCTGCGCGACAATTGTCTCTGGCGCTTTCAGAGCCAGAGGCGTCGCTGAATAGGTCCTCTCGTCGTGAGAGAGAGGTGGGCGGCAGCTCATCGGGCGCCACCGTCCAACAGAGGTTGCCCGCGATGGCTGGATTTGGGGGGACCCCTGCCACTGCTGCTACCGCTGTCGCTACCGCCGGCGTCAACTTCCTCCGCGACGTGCGGATTCATACCGGGGCGGCTTGCAATTTGGCGTCTGCCAATACCGCCCTCCGGGGCGCTCGGGCCCGTCCTCAGCATTCCGCCACGAGCGGAGAAGTCCAATCCCCTTCACGACTTGGCTCAGGTCCACTTCGCGGTAAGATCGAGTTGAATTCTCGCGGAGTTTGAGGTTATCTTTTCCCTTTCTCTCTTTCTCGTTTTATTGTTGTATGCAATGTTTTGCTAAGTCTTTTGGCGTTGTGGTTGTAGGGCTTGTTGGCAACCTTCCGGGCTCAACAAGAGCGCGCCTCACAGCGCGCGAGGATGAAGGACGACGAGGCGAAGATTGTCCAGTTGGAGGGGAAAGTCCTCGGGGTGAATAATCGTGCTGACTTGGCAACGAACAAGGCCAACGAGGCACTGGAGTCGCTCGGCGTTTTGCAGAGCAAATTAGCCGCCGACGTGGAGGCGGCTAAGGAGCAGGTGCGGAACGAGGAGCGCTCTACCATCCGGGGACAACTGGAGGCCTCGTTCGCCGAGAAGTTGAGGCAAGCTCGCGAGGAGCTGCAGAAGGAGAAGGACGACCTGGTCCGCCTTCACAACGTCGCAAAAGCAGAGGCTGTTCGCGGCCGAGGCTGCGGCGGTGCGCCAGTTCAAGTCCTCTCCTTCTTTCGGGAAGATCTTGGCGGACGCCATGACCAAGGCCGTGATCGCGGTCGGGAAAAAGGTGCGTCCGGAGAACCCTGGGGTTCGCTGGGATACTCGCGAGATGGTCCAACATGTGAAGATGTGGATAGGCGAGAAGCGGCCTTTGGATTCCGACTCCGAGTCGGAGGGCGGGGATGATGATGAGGAAGAAGAGGAGCACCAGGAGGAAGAGCGCCAGGAAGAAAAGCGCCCGGACGGGGAGAAAGCTGAGGGCGCGAGAAGGGATGGCGAAATAGCCGATGATGACGAAGAAGAGGAGGAGAGCCCCCTGCTGCGCCGCAAACAGAGCCGAGAGGATGTTCGGTCTAACACTGATGATGTTTAAGTGTTATCGCGTTGGCATGTTTCCCGCTCGAACTCTTTTTTTTTTTTTTAAGTGTAGTTGTGAACAATGTTGGTGCTCCCGATTTAATGAAATCCAAACAGTCTTCATTTGTGGTGCTCATTTGTTTTGCCCCTTTCAAACCGAGTGCGCGCGAGTGGGTCTTGCCCATTGCTATTGTTTGTTCTTTCGAACTTTGTGGCCGCGAATAGTTTGTGACTATTGCTATTGTTTTGTTCTTTCGAACTTTATGGGCGCGAATAGTTATGACTATTGCAATTGTTTTGTTCTTTCGAACCGAGTGTGCGCGAATGGTTCTTGCCCATTGCTATTGTTTGTTCTTTCGAACTTTGTGGGCGCGAATAGTTATGACTACTGCTATTGTTTTGTTCTTTCGAACCGAGTGTGCGCGAATGGTTCTTGACCATTGCTATTGTTTGTTCTGTCGAACTTTGTGGGCGCGAATAGTGATGACTATTGCTATTGTTTGTTCTTTCGAACTTTATGGGCGCGAATAGTTATGACTATTGCTATTGTTTTGTTCTTTCGAACCGAATATTTTATTAATATGCGTGCGTCGATGCGCTATGGTAAACAGGAGATACATCAAGTGGACTGGTTGTATTTCCTGAGATTCTGCGCGTTTCATGTCCTTAGGATTTTGTTGCCGCACAGCTCGCTGAGCTTGAAGGTGTTGGCACCTACCACTTCGCGGATTAGGAATGGGCCCTCCCATGTTGAGGCGAGTTTTCCTTGTCTGGGATCAGGACGGAAATTTCTCCGTAACACTTGGTCGCCGAGGATCAGCTTATGTGGACTAACCTCGCGTTGTGGTATTTGGCTACCTGCTCCTTCATTGCGGCTAGTTTGATGACCGCTAGCTCGCGTCTTTCCTGTGCGAGTTCCAATTCTAACAGGCGCGCCTCGTTGTTGCTTTCTTCGTTGTACATCGTGATTCGATAGGTTGGGGACGTTGTCTCGATGGGGATCACCGCGTCAGTGCCATATGTGAGGGCGAATGGGGTCTCGCCTGTTGCCACCTTGTATGTGGTTTGATGTGCCCATAACACTGTGTTGAGCTCGTCTGCCCAATTACCTTTAGTTTCGTTCAGGCGAGTGTGCAAGCCGTGCAAGATTACCAATCCAGGCATATGCCGGCGAATGTGGAAGGGAAGGTTCTGCATAGCGCTGCATTGGAATTCGTCTGAAGTTGCATACGTAAGCAGAAGATGCTCACGTGGTCTTCGGGGTCGGTCGTCCCGTTGTACGTGGGGAGGGCGAGTGGCATTCCGCTCAGGTGCTCCGCCATTATTTCCGCGCTTAGCGGCTGGTGGAGCGCTTTCCTAGGTGGATTAGGGCGGTACTGTGGGGACAGGTGTTGTTCCAGGAAGCTGAGGTCCGCTCTTTCTGGCAACTCGCCCTGTTGCGTCTCATACGCAGGGAGTTCGGGCGCCTGGTGCTGTGGCAGTGGGGCGGTCCCTGACGCCTCGCCAGGTCCTTGCTGTGGCGCGTTTGGCGTCGCCTCTGCCGCTGTCGCGGCTTCCTTGCTCATCATGAGCGCTATGACTTGGCTCATTTGCTTTTGCATGTCAGCTATGACGTCGTTCTGTTTTGCCATTAGCTGTCTCATTTCCTTGGCGGTTAACTCGGGCTCTTCTTCCTCGATGAGCACCGCGTTGAGATTGCTGGTTTCCGCGAACGCTCTCGGGTTGGTCATCGCTTTGATTGGCGTCGCTTCGTCGGGTAAGTCGGGGTTTTGGTCTGCCATAAGTGGGTTTTCTTTTGCTTCTCTGCTTCGCCCCACGGTGGGCGCCAATTGTTTGAACCTAACTGAGTGTAGGAGTGAGGTTCGAGAAAGGATGTGGGTCAAGGAGAGCAAGCAAAGGGGAATATATATGATCTCCCGGGTAACGGGGATTGATAGAATGAGACTGAGAGGATGAGGTCGAGAGAATTCGAGTTCTAGAGAGAGAAGTTGATGTTCATAGAGGAGAATGTCCAAAAATGCGATCCCCCTCACCCACCGTAGTAAATGCCATATTTATAGGCTACATGGTGGTGGGTGAGTGGTTGACTCATGTGAGGATACAATGATGTGACTACTGACATACTAAGGATTTAGGCCATGCTTCTACCTAGGACGTGTCAGAGACCTATCTGGGACCACGCCTAGGGCCCTGATGTGACTACCCTTGGGGAGGGAAACTACGCTTTCCACATCCCTTTGGTCTGGTCTACGCTATGACCTTCCTACCTGCGTGCGACCCGTTCCGCGCCTAAGCTTCCCGTTCCGCGCCTAAGCTTCTCGCGCCGGGACGTGGTGAACCACGCTGAGGTGTCGCGCTCAGGGTCTTCGCGCGGCCATGCTGGGGGGTATTCGGTCGCGATGTGTTCCTTCGGCGCGGCTAGGCCCGAGTCATATGCCCAACAACTACTTAAGTATGTTATTTGATCGATCGTTCGTTGTAAGAGATTGACCGAAAATGGTGAACCGACTACTTGCCGTAAACGATAAATCGCTTTCTTCAAGTCATGGTGACTTATAAGTCACCATAGATATAGTCATAATTTATTATTATTTATAAATAGTACTAGTGAGAACGGTAGAAGAAAGAAGAATAACCTGGTTGAAACATAAAGTACAAACAATGGGACAAAGGTTACAGAAACCTTGTACTAGTATATAGCTCTCTTGTGTGTCCTTTATTGATCATCTTCAATGCATGATTAGGGAACAATCACATCTCAATTCTCATCCTAATGATGTTCATATAGTACCCTCACCCATATGCTCATTACTCAATCGCACATGAATATTCATAAGAATCCACCATGCAATCGAGATTTATCTGTTTTAATTATGGTTTAGGGTTCCAAGTTGTTCTTGCCCTCAATATTTCAGACCCGTCCTCGAGACACAACAAATGATCCATCTCCACGGGCGACGCATTGCCATGGTCGTCGGCGCCGCCGTTCCCATTCCCGGCGGCTGCATTATCATCGTTAATGACCTTGGAAAGAGAATGCACAATGGTATCTATAGCAACCTCTTTTCTGAACTCCATTGACACTGCACCACGTTCATGTCCCTCTGGAAGCCAGCGTGGGACGCTATCTAGGATCCAATACACGTATTTCACGTTATTCACATGATCATTCATGTCCAAATCGAACCATCTTGACTACATATGTATCCCCCCAAAAAACCATAGACAATGATAAATTAATTAGATGGCCAAGGGTTGCCAATAACTAGCAATGATATACAATAATTTATCCATATTAATTAAGGGAAAATTATATAAAATAATTTATTCATTTTGAGACTTTATCCATTCTACTTTATCCATGGGAATATGTTTTGAGGTGAGACTGCCCGGTATGAGTACTCACTTCGACCTGTACCTCATTCTTAATCCATTTTGCGTTACGTTTATTACAAATTATTTTAGCTGTTAAAAGTTCTAAGCAGTTGAGGACCAACATTTCTCGAATAGTTTAACTTCATTTATAATGTAATAGTTTCAAAAAATTTTAAAAAATCATATCTCAAGTATTTTTTCTTAAAATAAATACTCGTATGATCAACTTGCACCGACCCGTTCCCCAATTTCAAATACCCGAAATGTCATGAGATGATATGGATACCAAGTTGAAACCAACATTTCTCGAATAGTTTAACTTCATTTACAATGTAATAGTTATAAAGAAAAAAATTCATGTCCCAAGTGTTTTTTCTTGAAAATAAATACTCAGTATGATCAACTTGTACCGACCCGTAAACCAATGCCATATATCTGAACTGTCACGAGATGATATCGGTATCAAGATACTCTTTCTGACTTCCCCCATTACAATTCCTATCCGTACCAATTGGTTCTCGATGCCACAACCTTTGAGTAAGAGCTCTCGTTTTTTAATCTTGACTATCCACAATGTCGTTTGTGTATTCTATCACATGGTACATATAGTAAATATATATAAATTTTAAGCCATGAGTTGTCTTTATTGGACGAGCCATATAAGAGAATCTAATCTAAATCTAAATCTAAACCATTATTATATGGAGGTTCTCTTCCATTAACCCATTAATTTCCGTTTCCCTGGCTCCTGCGCAGAGAACGGAGGGCCAATTAAGTAATAACAGTAATTTAATTCACATCGGCAGTAAGGGGAGCACGAATATGGGCTTTAATTTGTGAGCCCATAATTATATTCCACGTGATATTTTCCAGTTTCAGGAATGATGCGAGAATTTCATTAGTAGTTTAATTCAATAATATACCATGCATATAATGTTTTTAATTTCACGAACCAATGTATTAAAGCAAACGTGATCCAAATTCACATGTCGAGAAACTCTTTGAAAATTGGATATTGATATATTGAATTATTGATAAAATAGAATTCTAAAATATTACCAACTAAGAAAAATAGATTGTTGATTACGTCGAGCCTCTCCGGATGAGGCTTGACTCAATTTTCTGGGTGATCGATTTTATGAGCATTTATATAGTAATACTACGTACCATTATTACAACAACTGGGCAAACAAACAAAGGGAGAACAAAAAGAAAGAAAGATCACTCCTCACTCACTGAAGATTTAGACTTAATATTTTTTTGAAGGTTACTCTTCTGTTCTATGCCTTGAAGAAATATTTCACGTGGAAAGTCATCCAAACAATCAAATAATGCTTCAATTCGTTTGTTAAAAATTAAATGCAATTACAAATATTTTTATTAGCATAATTATGTACTTCTTACAATTTCATGTGTGCCCATGTCATGCGTCATTTAGGGGAAAAGGATAGTTCTTTTTATACCAGTAGAAGGTGGGTGGATTCTAATCAGTCTTTATTTAAAGTGCAGAATAAATTTTCTTATGGTATGAATATCGATGAATTATCAATTGAAAAAGTTACGGATTCACATATACTTCAATGATTGATCGATATAGAACCGTTGACTAACTGTTGATAGAACCGTTCGTGCGCTATAATATAAAGAAATATATAATACACTAATTTAGAAGTGAATTTATCACTACTCATAAAAAATTACAAATTCATATAATTTATTACCAAAAAGTTCTAACAAAACTTTCAAACTATTTAACAAAAGAAAATTGTACTTTTTTATTTAACAATAGTAAGAGTGACTATCCGTAGTGAATATATAATTATGTTAAGAAAGCCGGAGAAAAATGAAGCATAGATAGAATTAGTGACTGAGGTTGGATGGTTTTAGTTTATGTTAACTTACTTTTCTCTTTAATTTTGTGTGGTTAAAATAGTGAACCACTGGGTCAGTTATACCGGGGTGGTTCATATGGTTTTAAGTCAAACCGTTAAAAATCGTTCAATCCATCTTTAACGGTCTAATCAAATGAACCGAACCGCTATTGTAACCGGTTTAGTGATTCTACTGGAACATAAGCAATTGCAAGCAATTACTTTGCATCGCTACCAGCATAGCTGTAAGTATATAGATAATTACTTTCTCCAATCCGTCCAGTTATTTCACATCTTCGTTAATTATGACCTTACAAATTATTGCATTTATTTTCTCTTCCAACACAGCTTCCACTGGCGCTCCAATTTCACTTTCACCCCAGGTTCTTAACCATATTTTACATAACTTATTCTTTTCCCTACTCGCTACCCGACAGTAATTACCTCAGTACAAACATGTTATTATGTATTTACAGTACACATTACGTATACCAATTCACATATGTTTATGGGTGTGGAGGGAATAAATTGTATTTCATCCCGACAATTATTCAATCTAGCATTCCATATATTCTTTGCAAGTTTACTATGATCATAATATATTCATAGTTATGTATGCTAATATCCTTATCTCTATTATTCAAAGGGCAAATCATTACCTTCCAGCCCCGTTTCAGGATCAAAGAGTTTACACTTTCAAGAACTCTGTGGTCAGTATGACGATGGGAGATTACAGTCAAATCCCGAACAAATTGGTCATCAAGTTTCAATCAAATACCCAGGCCGAAGAAAGCGACGATATTCCAGAGATAACAACTTACAAATTTTACTTCGTCGAAGAAGATCAGATCGAGAGGAAGTACAACCAAAGGAATTTTCTTTCAGGTACTAAGCACTATTCTAAATTAAAAAAATATTTGCTGCTTGGACAACCAAAAACTTAATTTCGTCAATTATTTGTTACACAGATGTCGTCGGACAACTAATTTAGTATTCGGATTTACTAATATCTACTACACTCACTAGAAAGGTTACACGCAGAAGCTCCAACTAAAACTTCTCAAGTATGTAACTCTTTTTATTCTTAATTAGTTAATTTAAAATATCATAATTTTATTAACTATATTCAAATATACAATTTGAATATAGGGGATTGGTCGTCAAGGTCATTCTTTTTAGTAGGATAGTCGCCCAACTAAACTCAATCCTCGAACATTCAGGCAACCAACCACGCATCCTGGTTATTATTGCTTCCTTATGCATCCTTCCTTATGACGGTAAGGCGACATCTTGATTAACTTATTTTCATTCATCAAACAATGACACTAAATAACCGACATTTAATCAAACAACTGCTAAATTTGCAGGTAAAATTAATTTCACCACTTCGGGAGCAACATTACTACTCGCAAATCCAAGAATTCCAGAAGTAATTAATTTTGGACCAAGGTGAAATTCTTTAATATTTACTCACCATATTTGCCTACGTGTTATGAGTTTGATGTTCAACAAACCAAAATGAGAGTAATTATAATTCCTTTTTGGTGATAACAGTAATGACGATGGACCAAATCCACCGGTGAAAAGCGTGTAAGCACCTCAAAGGAAGGATGAGGATGAGGATGACATGGACAATGAGTAAAGATAAGTGTTATGCAAAACAATTATAGAATTCGGTTCCCTGGTAAAAGGGTCAATCATTGTTTTTCATAATTAATTATGTTGGATGAGTTGGTTAGGATATCCCAGAATACTATGATGTTCGCAAATGAACCCGACATTGCTACTTATTTATGCGATTCCAAAAGAAACCGGCCAAGTGGCCCGGCTGTGACTAGTAACAAAAAGAGTTATCTTTTCTATGACTTATAATGGTCGCACGATTGCCAGTATTCAAATCGATGATTTTAAATGACGAAGCTAAGTCTACATAAACTAGAATTCGTAGTTGCATATAATTTTTCGTATGTATGTAGTTGAGAATTGTTCAAATAGGGGTTTATGTTAGTGGAGTTGGGCTTTTAGCCCATTGTTGTATCGTTGTTAGATGGGTGTCGAGTGTACTTGGGAGTTGGGTGTGGCCGCAGGAGACTAGCCCTAGCGATGTCTTGAGAGAGCTAGGGTTAGACGGCAGTATTTATGTACAGCAAGGGTCTTGTAAACAAACGAAGAAAACTCGACACACAATTTATGTGGTGTACTAACAGTTTACCCTTAGGCCGCCGGTGAGACAATCAGCTGCCTCCAAATCCGGCCTTGGTAATCTCTTCTTTTCGTTTTGGGGACTACAAATAGGGGTGGACAACGGGAAACGGGTATTTGGGTATACCCGTACCCGTCCCATTTTTTAAGGGTTACGGGTACCCATATTACCCGTATTATTATAAACGGATGGGACTTGGGATTGTACATTCCTAATATGGGTACCCGCGGGTTACCCGCAAATACCCGTTTGGGTAATATGGGTACCCGTTATACCCATTTACCAGAAATAGCCCACAGCCCAGCACCCCAACCCAATTCACTAATTCAGAAATGTGGCATTGGGCCTTGGCCATTTCGGCCCTTACCCTTAGTCGACCCTTACCCTGCCTGGCTGCCTATTCCCTTTCGGCTTTCATTCAACTGCGAGAAAGTCAGACAGCGAGAGTGCGAGACAGTGTCCTCCACCCAGCGCAGCCGGAGCGATAGGCCGACAGCGAGACCTAGCTCGCTAGCTCCGCCTCCGCCGCTCCGCGTGCTTCCTCCTTCATTCACCAGCGCGGGCCGCGGCGGCTTCCTTCTTCTCACTCTGTTGCGCCGCCTCCAATAGCAGACCAGCAGCAGCCAACTTTCCCAGCAAGGAGCAGGGGGAATATCAGCAGCATCACCATTCACCCGGCGTTGTTATCTATTTAGGTATGCAGCTGCCATTCTCTTTTCTTTTCTACTTACAGTACATATTCTGGACTCTAATTACTAGTTAGGTTTGTTCTGCTAATTACTAATTATGTTTCTAATTTCCAGCATCTGTCTATTTGGTTTATGTTGATTTAGTTTATAGTTTCTATGGCTAGTCAAGGGAATGAAACTAGTTAATGGAATGAAACTTTGGGTATTTATAGGTATTATGGGTACCCGTTATCCGTCCCGTACGAGTAATGGGTACCCGTTTCCCATATGGGTTTGAGATATGGGAAGGACTTTGGCCTCCAAATGGGATTGAGTACCCGTTTAAAACGGGACGGGCATCCCGTCCCGTCCCGTTGCC